ACTGTAGTTTTAAAGAGCGCGTTAATAAACTAGACCAGAAAAAGTTTTAAAAATTAAATTTTTTTTTTAATTGATAGACTGCCTGGCCAAACCAAACCCTCAGTCGATGTAGCAGCACTCTCTTGCGAGTCAGGCTATTTGTCAGTCGTTGTAGCAGCACTCCCTTGCGAGTCAGGCTATTTGTCAGTCGATGTAGCAGCACTCCGTTGCGAGTCAGGCTATTTGTCAGTCGATGTAGCAGCACTCCGTTGCGAGTCAGGCTATTTGTCAGTCGATGTAGCAGCACTCCGTTGCGAGTCAGGCTATAAGATAGTCGATGTAGCAACAGTTACGCATGTTTAAAAAATGTTTTTTATTAAATCAATAACAAAAACACCACTAATTAAAAAACTTTCTAGTCGTTATAATTGCGGTTTTTTAAAAATTTTTTAAAAAACAATTAAATTTAATGTACTTCCGCATAAATTAATTGCTTTGACATTTCGATGACAATCAAAAACAGCTTAAGAGACGAGGTAATTAAAATTGTAGTCGTAAGAGACTTTTTTTACATTAAAATGCTCTTAAAGCGACACTATATGAGTATATATGTATATATATATATACAGTTATATATATATATATATATATATATATATATATATATATATATATATATTTCTATATATATACATATATATATATATATATATATATATATATATATATATATATATATATATATATATATATATTTCTATATATATATATATATATATATATATATATATATATATATATATTATATATATATATATATATATATATATATATATATATATATATATATATATATATATATATATATATATATATATATATATATATATATATATATATATATATATATATATATATATATATACAGTTATATATATATACATATATATATATATATATATATATATATACATATATATATATATATATATATATATATATATATATATATATATATATATATATATATATATATATATATATATATATATATATATATATATATATATATATATATATATATATATATATATATATATATATATATATATATATATATATATATATATATATATATATATATATATATATATATATATATATATATACATATATATATAGTTATATAGTTATATATAAATCCTTAACTACTTGGACAAAAAATAAATGTAATGCAGCAAAGATGAACTTTTAATGATGCTAATACTTGGGTTATTGACAGCTGATTTTGCTGACAGGTTTAATATATTTTTAGGATTAGCGAATGCAATATTTTCTTTATTGTTGAAAACTTCTAGCTCACTTTTTAACCACATGGTTTTTGTTCCAAGTAAAGATGTTATAAGACAGGCAACGCAAAAAAGATTTTAGAAATTAACTTGTTCAGACTAACACTTTTAGATATAACAGAATTTATTATGGAATCACCTTAAAGTTTTGACTTACAGAAACTAACAGGGAATGAATACAAACATTACAACAATATAAAAACATTAGTACCCGTAGCTCCAAATTCATCAATAATTTCTTTAAAAAATTTCTAAAGCTTACAGAAGCTAAATTTCGGATAAAAAAATTACATATGCAACAATTATTTAGATTTTATTACAAAATACTCTGTATAATGTATGATTAAGGCTTTAATATTAATTTTTTAATACAAATGAAATGATTTTAATTAAATTCATTTTTATCAGTCACTTTAAAAATATGATGAGTATTTGTATAAAGATAATTAAAATTTCGAACAATAATATTAGCTTTACTTTTTTTTTTTTTTAGGTGAATCAATTGCAACTGATGGAATATCTTTAAAATGCTGAGGTAATTAAAATAATTTTTAATTATTCAGGAATTTTAAGGATTAAATTATTTAGCAAAAAAGTTGTTTAATAATGAGCTCAATTTAAATTAAAAAAAAAATTAATATTAGTTCTCGCATAATTAATACCAGTTCTCTTATATATTAAAATTTAGAATATTTTCCAACAATTTTGTGACCTCCATGAATATGAAGGGGAAAGGTGGAAATATGCTTTAAGAGCACTAATTTATATGGTGTAGTAAAAGGAATACCTTTATAAGATATGTAAAACTTTTTTATTCTCATTTTTTATATATTCAAAAATTTCTCCTTGTGTTTTTTTTTTTTTTTTTGTAATTCTTTTTTATTAACAGCCTCTTCCATTAAATACGATGGAGCGACTGAAACTTAAATTGATGGCATTTTGTCTAACTTCGAAAAATGCGCTTCATTTCGAAAAGGTGACGGAAAAGAAAAAAATTTAGATTGATTGATATAAATTTATATTTATAAAAATCAATCTAAAATTTCTTTATTGAAATATTTACATATATTTCAATAAAGAAATATTTTCTTTTTGTCTGCTAATATTTTTTTTTTCAGTGTTAATTCAACATTACAAATTGAAACTCAATTATCAAAAAAGCCTAGAATTGAGTTGATGTTTTTAAGTAAAATAAGAAAAGCTCAAAAAGTAACTGATGTATTACTTTTATTTTTTGATAAAAAAAAAAATTCTAATAATGTTTAAAATTGGTATTAATATTAATGTTTATTAGATGAAGATGAGTGAAAAATAAGTAATGTTTATTAGATAAAGATAAGTAAAAAAATACGTTACAAGTTATTTTTTGGTCTTGAAAATTGTTTGAATGATAATTTATCATTTATCAAAATATTTTCTTTTTTAATTTTTGTTGTTTTTATATTTTAATTAAAAGTCGATTGCCATAATTTGTTATAATTTTCTTTTAGCAACCTAGGTTGCTAAAACATAAACATCTACATAAGATAATTATGGAATATTGAAAAGAAATAGAAATACAAAAAAAACAAAAATACTCATTATTAATATAAAATATAATAGAATAATATAAGGTATATTATTAACATATTTTATATACATATATATATATATATATATATATATATATATATATATATATATATATATATATATATATATATATATATATATATATATATATATATATATATATATATATATATATATACATATATATATATATATATATATATATATATATATATATATATATATATATATATATATATATATATATATATATATATATATATATATATATATATATATATATATATATATATATATATATATATATATATATATATATATATATATACAATAATGTTATTTAGGCAATGTACGCATTGCAGAATCTTCTTTACCACGAGCTGCTCAACCTAATGAAGTCCCTCTAACTTTAAGAATTTCTCAGCGGATGAAACTCGAGACATCTCAATTAGAAGGTGTTGATAAAAGAATACAGGTATTGAACAGGTTTTTGCTATAATTTTTTTATAATTTTTTTGAAGCAATATAATTTTTTCTGTTTCTTTTAAACAATATATTATTTTTCAATATAGTTAATAAAAGAGCATTGTATGTTGCTAGCATTACCTTGTGGGCGTGATCCTCCTGATGTTCATGCGCAAACTCGAGCATTGAAAACAGGTTTTATAACATACTTAAGGTATATTATTAATATATATAAGGTATATTATACAAAGACAAGTAATGAAAGAATACTAGCTAGTATTCTTTCATCATTTGTCTTTGTTATTGAGCCTTAAGTTATTTGAACATAATATATTCAGAGCTCTACTGAATAATAGAGTAATAAATAAATAAGTAAAAATGAGTTTAAAATATGAGTTTACAATTTATAAAATAAAATGAGTTTAAAATTTGTAAAATAAAGAAAATCTTATCTTTGCTTATAATGTCTACTAATATTATTGTTTAGCAAGTATCATGGTTATAAAATGTTCAAATTTAGCTAGTTTAATTAAACCTGTTAGTACACTTATATTATGGTTTCTTCATTTTACATTAGTTCATGTAATTTTTTCAAAATCGAATATGCGGAAAGGAGCTGTTTGGAATGAAGATTTACAAGAAGAAGTAATTCCATCTAATTGGATTAGTGATAAAACTGTTTGTTGGTTTCCTGTTACCAAAGCATTCACTGCACTAAAATGCAGAGAAGAATAGGCTTAAGTTTATACAAATAAAAACTAAATTCTCTTCAGGTATTACATCTATATATTACAATTATTATTTTTTAAATAATGTTGTAAGAAGAGTTATTTTGTTTATACAAAATATATAACTATTTGTACAACTATTTCAATTCTAAAAGAAAGCAAACAGTATTGTGAAAATTTTAAACTCTCAACTACAAAAGAAAAATGTGATGATGAGAATGTTGACAGGTGGATGCAAGATTTGCACACAAGTGGAAACTTGGATGCAAACTATCCACTTGTGTGGTTTGGATGGTTCTCCAAAATATAATATATCTCTACAAGCAAAATATTAGATTTACTCCATGTTTTTTTTACAGATAAATCAATTACAGTTAATTTGTGGAATTACCTCATTTATAATCAGGGTGTCTGCAGCTCCTCTAAAATCCTCTAAAGTCCTCTTTTTTTAAAACCACTTCTAAAATCCTCTATTATCCTCTAAAGAGGTAAAAATTTGATCAAAGCTTCTCATTAATTCTTCCTTTTTTAATTTTTGATGGATGTAATGTAACGTTCAAAATACCCCTTCTCGGTCTGCAAAACTGGTTAACGCCTTAAAGTGCATGGAATTTAAAAAATTGGTTTAGAAAATGCATGCTATTTAACATAACAAATGACATTATTTGATCCCTGTCCAAGCCCCATAAGTGTATAAATATGGACGTTAAACCATTAATAAATGGCCACATAAAATTTCTTATAAAAATTTTATGTGGCCACCCCGAAAATTATTTTTCAATTCTAGAAATGTTTTATATTTTCATTATTAATTTATTTTTAATAGATTAAAAAGGTTGTTTTATTTAAATTAAATATTTGAAAAAGTTTTTAAAAACCAAATAACAGTTATATTATTTTTTTAAAATTTAGAGTATTTTCGAAAAGTTTTATGGCCTCCATGGATATGAAGGGCAAAGGTGGAAAAATATGTTTAAAGAACACTAATCTATATGGCGTTGAAAAAGATATAACTTCATAAGTTGTAACACTTTTCCATTCATTATTTACTTTTAAATCTTCCCTTTTTTTTTTTTTTTTAATATATTTTTTTTATTTGAAGCTTCTTCTATTGTATTCATTGAACCAAAAGAACCCTCGGTTAATGGAACATTGTTTGACTTTCTAAATTACGCTTTATTTCTAAGAGGTGGTGGAAAAGAGAAAAAATTTGTGCAGATTTTATTCAATTACATGTAAATATATGTAACATTGAATATGTATTTTTGAATAAAACAAGTTTTATCTCTTTCTTTAATCATACCTAGCTATTTTAACTAAACTAAACTGAAAAAGTTCTAAACAGTCTAAGTATAGACTATGAATAGATTTAATATCCAAAATATATCTTGATAATGTACAGCAACACTAATGTACATGCATAGTACGTTTTGATGGTGATCATATTTTGACGCACATAGCACGTTTACATACACATATACATTTTGACATACATAGCACGTTTTGATGGTGAAAAAGTGTTTTACAGTCGTTTAACGTTGATAAATCATCGTTAAACACTATCATTTTTAACGTTGTATCAACGTAAATTCAACGTTGTTGCAACGTTTTTTCGCCTCGAATCAACGTTGATTTAACGTTTGAATCTAACGTTGATTCAACGTTGATTTATCAACGTTGAAAAAAATTTCAATTTAAATGTTAAATCAACGTTAATACAACGTTAGGTTTCAAGGATATTTTAACGTTATTTCAACGTTATTAGTCGGCTGGGATATATATATATATATATATATATATATATATATATATATATATATATATATATATATATATATATATATATATATATATATATATATATATAAATATATATACATATATATATATATATATATATATATATATATATATATATATATATATATATATATATATATATAAATATATATATATATATATATATATATATATATATATATATATATATATATATATATATATATATATATATATTATATATATATATATATATATATATATATATATATTTATATATATATATATATATATATATATATATTAGATCAAGAGATGTTAAGCTTTGGGGTAAACTATATACTACATATGTTAGGCCGCACCTGAAATTTGCTGTTCCGGTATGGTGTCCTTACGCTGAAAGGTGTCGGTTATGGCTTATGGTTTACCTTATGCTGAAAGGTGTCGGCGTCTCAATTTTACTTCTTTGGAAACTTGCAGGCGACGCGGTGACTTGATCCAACAGTTTAAACTTGAAAACGGTTTTGAAATTATTAATTGGCATAATCCGCCTCTTCGCAAATCACCATCCAACGTACTAACGCGTGATTTTACTTACAATAACTCTCGACATAATTTCTTCACAAATCGTATTGTGAATGATTGGAATTATTTACCGTTGTCATGCAAAAAGGCTCCGTCAATTAAAGCATTCAAAAGTTGAATTGACAAGTGTTTTTTTCCTACAGCTGCAAACAGTACATCTTTTCCTGAAGATGAGCTGCACGTTTAATTTAATTAGTTCGTGCTTTAGCAGCTACAAATATTGACTTTTTAGGTACATTTGTCATAAACGTAAACTGTTATTAAACGAAAGCAAAAAAAAAAAAAAAAAAAAAAATGCTTTTGGTTTTTAATCTGTTTATTGGATTGTTTTTTTATTTATTTGTCATGTAATCTATATAGACTTATTTAAATATATTACTATTACTATTACTATTACTATATATATATATATATATATATATATATATATATATATATATATATATATATATATATATATATATATATATATATATATATATATATATATATATAAATATATATATATATATATATATATATATATATATATATATAAATATATATTTATATAAAGTTATATATATATATATATATATAGATATAAATAGGGATATGAATATATATAGATATACAGGTATGTAGATATATAAATAGATATATTTTATAAATGAAATCTTGATGAAACTTGCTATTAGTATTTTTTGATTTTTGCCTGAATTCTTTTCGGTAAATTCTTTTCGGTAAAAAAATGTGTATAAAAATAGTCATATTTTATATTTAAAATGTTCGAAACAAAAAATTATTTGAAGTGAACTACGAAAATTAAATAACTAAATTATACAAAGCAAACTACTAGATGATAATAATAAAATCAACATAAACGTTTTTAAATATGGAAAAACTCTTGCGAAAAGATATATTAATATATAAATCTATTAATTTAAATAGTTATATTATCAATTCAAATTAAATAACCTAACAATTTAATTATATTTAAACCTATTTAAACTTAAATTCCGAAAACTTGTAATATTGAAAAACTGGCCTTCAATTTTCGGCCAATTTATGCAACATATCTGGCCGTGTCCATGGCAGGCTCTATTGTTATTCAAAAAAAAAAATTTCAAAAATTCTGTGATATAGGTACTCAAATAAAGCAAAATTTTATGAAAATTTCTAAAATAATAATTTTTTCATATACAAGTTACTATTTTAGATTTTATTGCATAATAACTATAGTTTTTTAACTAAAAGTGATAAAGGTGCTTTTTTACATGTTTTTTAATAACAATTTGTTTTTTGGAGTTTAATTTTTATAAAACAATTATTTCAATTTTTTAAAAAATTTTGCTTCTTTTGAGTACCAGGTTGACCTACTTTTAAAAAATATTTTTTCTCCAAAATATTAGGGTACCGGTAATTTTCCTAATAAAGTTGCGCCCTTTAAATCTATCACAATCATTCTCATATTTGATAGTATCAATATTAATAACTATTAGCAATGTTTTGAGCCTCTAACTAGAAAAAAAAATTTATGTCCCACCCTAATATATATATATATATATATATATATATATATATATATATATATATATATATATATATATATATATATATATATATATATATGTGTATATATATATATATATATATATATATATATATATATATATATATATATATATATATATATATATATATGTATATATATGTATATATATATATATATATATATATATATATATATATATATATATATATGTATATATATGTATATATATATATATATATATATATATATATATATATATATATATATATATATATATATATATATATATATATATATATATATATATATATATATATGTATATATATATATATATATATATATATATATATATATATATATATATATATATATATATATATATATATATATATATGTATATATATATATATATATATATATATATATATATATATATATATATATAGAGAGAGAGAGAGAGAGAGAGTTGTCACCACTACTAAAGTAGCCTCCTCGATTATAGTGAGCGTATCGGCTTGAGGGAGTGAGTTAAGATAAAAAAGAGAAGCATCAGATAAGTCCATATGAATACCAGCAGTAAAACATTTATTATCAAGGGAGATTTAACATTTTTCAATTAGTTTATCAAGAGTTTTTTGTGTGTTTATACCTTTTTTCAGTAACCGTAAAGATACGGAGATAAATAAATTAATATGTGTTTGAGAAATTGAAATTGTGAAAACTTCTCAAATATCTTTGAAACGCAGAGTAAAACACTGAAGTCTGTAGTTTGCACATAGCGTTGGATAATATTTCTTAAAAATTGGCGTTCTGTTTTTTAGACACAAGATAATCGGTATCGCAGAGTCGATACCGAGAAGAATGGTCTTGTATCGCGTGGTATCACTTATATGTTAATGTCGATACTACCAGAATTAGTTCTATACCACTCGATACTGAGAAGGATGGTCTTGTATTATGTGGTATTGCTTATGTTCAATTGTCGATAGTATCAGTATTACTTCGATACCAAACGAAACGGAAAATAAAAAGAATCGTATAGTATCGCTTGGTTACGAATCGAGACTCTCAATAAAACAAAAAAAAGAAAAATTAATGTGTGACTTATTGAACTTTTTATCAACAAAATACAAGGATAATTGCTTTTTAGAGTTTTAGTTATTGTTTTTTAATAATCTGCAATACTTTGGCAATGGTCCCTTCGTTGTTTTTTCCTTTGCCGTACTTTCGTTGGTATTTTAGGATTTTCTTCTAATAATATTAAAAAGTCTGATTCATGTCTTATATTACTTTCACTTTTATTTTCTTGTTCGATTTGTCATTTTTTGATGTAATTTTCAAGAGCGGAATAGTTCTGCATTATAAATACAAGCTTATCTGCCTTGTCATTACCGAGATTGTATTTACGATCAGTGATGACAAGACTGCATCATCTGAAAAATGTATCATCTGAAAAATGCTTTTTCAGATTTGCAGAGGTTGGTGTAGTAGCCAACCAAGATCTAGCAACACCCGAAAAGATAGGAAGTTCCGCTGCATGCTCCTTCCACCATGCTAAGGTATCAATTTTACCTGCATTTTTGGGTCTAATAGTTTTTGGTATTTTTTCATTTCTAGTTTATTAGAAGGGTTTTTGCGCATATGATGTAAATTAGTATCTTCCTTATACTTTCCTAAAACAATTTTCTATTCATTTTCCTCCCAGCCTTGTGCATTATCAGCAACAGAATCATTACTACCGTTGTTATTATTGGAGCTTGAGACAGACAATGAAGAATTCTCAAAGCATTCTTTGGTTGTGGGATAGTTTTCGACCAGTTTTTGAATATTTTCGTTGTCAACATCAAAAAGATGTCCACGAAAAAATGGATGAAGGTAATTTCCTAGAGCAAAAGCGGTTAATTTACGGCCTTTGTCTGGAAATTTCTTATATAGTTCTGACAAAAAGTCCACCGAGAATTTTTCTACTAAACTGTTGTTTCCATGAGTAACATAATTGTTTCTTTCTTTCTCGCAGAAGTTGATGAGTGCTGTTTTTTCACAGCGACATATCATTCGGATCACTATGCCAGAAGATAGAAATGACCAGGCGAGAATTACAATAACACGAGAGATTTAATAAAGTAACGATACCAGAAAAAAAATCTAAATATGAGTGCGATATCACACAATTAATTAAACTGAAATAACTGTAATGACTGTTACGAAATCAATTCTTTTGAACAATCATTTCTAATAAGTGTTTAGATTAACTTTTAACAATTGCATCACAAACAATGCCCT